GGTCAAACTGGTAATGTAACATCCTCAATACCGGGTTAGTGACCAAATTGTAAAATTTCAGAATTTATTGGTTAAAGTAGATTAATTGAATAGTTTAGAGACTTATATTGGAAATTTTGTATATGACTAAATAGCAAAGAATGAGGAATAAAAAGGGCAAAATGGTCATTTAATGAGGAAATGAATAAAAAAATTAAGATATAGAAGAGATATATACACGTGGAGATTGGAGGAAAATAGAAAGGAAATATCCATAAAACTTTCTTCTTCTTCTTCTTCTTCTTCTTCTTCTTCACCCATAAACCTTAAGAGGAAAGGTGAGTTTCCTTGTTAGTTGACTATTTGCTGAATGTAAGAGTTGTTTATGATCCTTAAGTGATACTTAAGCTTAAGGAAAGCTTAAGTTATCTTCAAATTAAAAGATGAAGGAGTTAGGAGAGATTAAAGATAAGGAGTTTTTAAATGAAATCTTAGGAAAGAGTTGATAAGTGGATTTTGAAACTAAATTTGACTTGTCAATAGTTGAATTAAGAGATATGAAGTGATAGAATTGATATTAGAACATGTTGAAAATTTGGTGTGATTCTTGATTTACATATAGAGGATGGGATTTTGAGGTTAAGAATACGTTGAATGAATAGAAATTGGTCTAAGTATGTGTACTTGAGTTAAGTGTATGAAAAGGAGTAAGATATGAAGTGTGTTTGAGCTGAAATGAGTAAATTTTTGAGTTGAAATGTGAAAATATGGGCTTGAGTATTGGTGTTGCCTCATCCAGTACCGATACTTCAAGAAAAAAAAGAGGGATATTTGGTATAGGGGTATCGATACTGAGTCGAACAGTATCGATACCATAGGTCTGATTTGGGTAAGGATATTCAAAGGGTATCGATATCTGGGAAGGTAGTATCAGTACCATAGTATAGTAGTATCGATATCATGTTAAGGGTATTGATACCAGAAAACATCGAATCTAATTTTGGTATCGATACCGGGGGGTATCGACACCATAGAGAAGAAGTATCAGTACTGTGCTTGTAGTACCGATACTACTTGAGTTGGGGAAGTTGATATTAGTATTTTATTTAGTTTAAATCAATATGAATCCTTTTTCGAGTGTTTCAAACCACGATATTCATTAGATTATATTCGTGTAGATATTGAGCACAAACAAGTTCCAGAACGACCACAGAGTTAGGATCGATCCAAAGAGATAGAATCCTACAAGTGAATTGGGAATTAAGCAAGACTAAGGAGTGCATACCATAATTAGTATAGATATTGTTTTATGGAAATAAGATTTGTGATAAGTCTATTTCCTATAGTTGAATTCATAATTTTATATTAATGTACATGCATATGTTATGATTATAATGAGTACGTGCATAATTCATACATGCTTTAATATGATATAATATGTGATGAATGAAACCATAAGAAAATAATTTCAAGTTATGTATGCTAAGACAAATGATCATATATGTGCATGTGATGTGTGTTTATATGAGAAGTGATAGAAGTGATTTGAAAATGTGACATGTATTCATATTTAAGCCCATGTTATATGATATGTGAGCTGTAGGTATAATTGGCATTCCAAGAGTCAAGGGTTCTAAGTGGTCATTCAAGACATAGTGGTTATTCGGGACAATTTTAAGTGCCCCTAGTGGGAATGTATACGAACTGTGGTGACAGCATATGTGCACAACCTCAGTGTACTCATGTACCTCAGATTCTCAGTAATGTACATGGGCATTCCAAAAGATAAAAACTGAATTAAAAATCTCATAAGATGATATGTTTCATTTGTGCATTTTGTAATTTTGCATGTTATAGTGTAGGAAATATATGTAAATGGTAAGGTTATTATGGAATTTATAGAAGTACATGTTTCATGAATTCATTGTTATATGTTATAATATGGCTCACTAAGTCTATGACTTAGCGTATAAGTGGTTTACACGTAGGTACAAAAAAATAGGAAGACCCGAGTTAAGGCTTAGGAAGACAACATCTCATTTGAAGCGATCAAATCAGAAGTAAATTAAAATAGTATGTCGTTTTGTTGTAATAATTATATCAGTATGTAATTACAGTTTAAATCATAAATGCTCTGATCGATGTTGTAATCATTTTGATATCATCTATGTAAATTAATGTATTATTTTCTTTTATTATATAAAAGTTTTAAATTTTATGAGATATTGTAAAAGTAAACGTTTTGAAAAGTCAATGTGACACCTAGGATTCGTATCTGGGTCAGATACGGGTTGGGGGTGTTACAGGTAATTCCTTATATAGGTTGAAATCGATCGAGCTGGTAATTCCTTACGAACCTAAGTTGACCCTTGGCTAGGCTCTGAGGCCCTGAGAAACTTTTTTGGGTAGGCTCTCAGGCCCCAAGACACTCCTTTAGGGTGGCTCATTTGCTGTGTGCTTAGGGTAAGTCCTTATGGATGCAGTTCTAGGGAACTGCATTAAGGTGTTCGGTTAAAGGGTTTTATTATGTTTGTAAAAAGATGTTTTAAATTATGACTTTTTTATAAAGATTTGTACCTTGTCACTGGTTTTGTGGGATCACACTAGACATCCTATTCTGATCTCCTGAGCCTGATACTCTGAATGTTTCCTATGAACTGAAATCTTTATGGCTTTTATTCGATGAAATATTAGTAGAACCTCAGCTCATTACGAAAACTTGCAGACGACTGAGTCAATAAGAAAAATTTATGATGTTCTTTTTATCTGCATGTCCTTTAACATCACTTGATAGTTTTGTATTACTGAGCTTTTCAAAGCTCACTCTTTTACTCATCATTTCAGGTTAAAAGAATCTTAGCAGTGCAACTATTGACATTAGTAAAGGAATTACACCGGCGTTGCTTGTAAAGTGTTGTGCATGTGATTAGGGGGCATGTAAGTTGTATTCTGTTTTTATATGAGTCTGAAATCTGTTTTATTTTTGGATATTCTTAAATTCTATTTTAAATATATAAATTGTTTTATGATTTTACATATTTTAACAAAAATTTTAATTTTTCTGAGATTTTTACTATGGGTCACTCCGGTAACCCTGATGTGACACCTTGAATCGGATCGGATCACCGGCATCGATCTGAGGGTGTTACAACGATTATGATTGTAAACTTTTATTGTAACTTGGATATTTTTTGTATTTTAATAAAACTAACTACTTTTACCAACAAAAAAATCTTCATCTTGAAAATTTTGATAAAAAATTAAAATAATAGTGCTAAAATACTTGTAAAGGAATAGGATTCAATATAAAAAAATAAAAAATAAGTAAGAAAATAATTATTTTATTAAGGGTAAAATACTTGAATGATCACCTAACTATGGGGTTGATGTCAATATGACAACTATTTTCAAAATTTCATCAATATGATCACCTAACTAATTAATTGGTTTCAACCATCCGCCGTTAACATTTAACAGAAGTTCTTATGTGGTAGTTAATAAATTATAATAATTACATATTTAGTCCTTATAATTTATATATTCTCTCATTTGATCCTAATTTTAATTTAATTTAATAAATTTATTTCTCCAATCAAATTGTGACATATAAGGATATATTTTGACACCTAAGGAAATTAAACTTGGGTCCTGAGGGTGGCCTTCGTACACCCTAGCCATTGAGAAAAATCCCATGCTTGTCAACAAGTTAATACATATATTATATAACTTGTTTAGGTTTAGGCAGAAAAAAATACTAATTTAACTTAATTGGATATGAACTAAAGATCAATTAGTAAGCAAGCAAGCCTTAACCAATAGGTTAAATTTAATATTTAGGAATCAATTAGAATATATATATATATATATATATATATATATATATATATAGTTAATAATAGAAAAGAAAAGAAAAAAATAGATAAGCGAGGACTTAAATCGATGCCAATTGAGAATATGATAACACTTAAATTGCTAAAAAAAATCTAATATATTATTTATAATTGATTTAAGATTTTAATATTTTTTAAAAAATTTTATTTAATTTTAATGATTATATATATGAAATTATATTTAAAATTAAATTAAAAAATTTATTTAACATTCTCGAACTCACGAGCACAATTTAAAATCAAAAGATAAATTTATAATTTGAATCTTAAATATTTTTTTCTCATGATTATAAATTGAATATTAAATTATTTTTAATGATTTCATATATATAATCATTAAAAAAATAAATACGAAAACAATAAATTTAGTTTTAAAAATATTAAAACCCTAAAACAATTACAGATAAACTATTAGATTTATTTCAGTAATTTAAGTTCTCTCGTATTCTAAATTGGCCTAGGTTTAAATTTTTACTTAAGATTTACCCTATTGGTTAAGGCTTGCTTGGTTGCTAACAAATCTTGGATTCAAATCCAATTAAGTTTTTTTTCCTACCTAAACCTCAACAAGTTATATAATATATGTATTAACTTGTTAACAAACATAAGAATTAACTTAGTGGTTAAGGCGTGCGAAGGCCACCCTTGGGATCCAAATTTAATTACATTGGGCGTCAAAAAACATCATTTATTTTCTCTTCAATTCAAAAGATGATACATGTCACCTACCGATTGGATTGAAATTTTATTAAATTAATTAAATTAAAATAAAAAAACCTATAAGTGATGACATGTGTCACAATTTGACTGGAGAAATAAATTTATTAAATTAAATTAAAATTATAATCAAAATGGAAGAATCTATAACTTATAAGGGCTAAATATATTATTATATTGCTTTTGTTAACAACCACGTACTCACTTTCGTTAAATATTAACGGCATATGACTATATTAAAATCAATTAAATTGTTAGACGGTCATATCGACAAAATTTTTAAAATTGTGGTAATATTTACACCAAGCCCATAATTAGATCATCATTCAATTAGTTTACCATTTTATTAAAAATTAAGTCAAAACCCTTATCCATTGCCCAATCGCTCCCATCCCCTTGCTCATTGATCTTCCGATTGAAACCCTCAAAACCACTTTTCCACTCAGTATTTGACTTTACTTTTCTCAGCCTTTGCTAATTGTTGGTAAATCGGAGTAGTGAATTGCATTCCAAAATCCCAATGGAGATGGTAAGTCTTCAAAGATCTCTTCTTTGCTTCTTATTTCTGCTAAATTTTCTCACTTTTTTCTTCTTTTTCCTGTTTTAATGATTCCCATCTTTCTTAATTAATGAGTATTGTATTATTGATGCATTATTGTTATTGATTTGTGTACTTTCTCAAATCAGTATGCATGATTGGAGTTTTGATTAACAATGGCGCTTCCTTTTGCTTGTATATTCAATAAAATCTGTGGACCACTTTCTCTTTTGGATTATATTCATGGACTTATATATGATGTTTTGATTACTCCTCTTTTTGTTTGGATTAAGACTTATTTTTCATGTACTTGTTTCGTTTCTAAGGCTATTCAAGGATTTTTTTTTAATTTGTGACTTTGAAGTTGTGATTCGTGTGCAATTATGTGCTATTTTGCTAGACTCTTCAAGTTTAAATTCATATATGGGAACAACGAGATGGCCCTCCAAATACATTGAAAACACCTTTAAAATATTGAATGTGCCAATGTCGTATACATACCTTTAGCTGAAACTCACTCAAATTCGAGAAACATAGATTATGCCAACTTTGCCTATATTGCCAACTAACTTGGTCTGGCCAACAGTTTCGTTTTCTTCCAAAAACAATCAGCTTAAGCAAATAATTGGAATTTAGAAATTATCGTCCATGTTAAAAATTTTAAATAATCTTTGCAGTCAATGAGGCATATGTGACGAAGAACTGTCAAACTCTTTGAAAACCTGTTTTTAAATGTTTAAACCAAGCTGTATATTGTGGAGGACATTACTCAGCTAAGTCCACTCTAACCTGCAACTTCTGAGGTCTGCAACAAATCTGTGCCGACCTAGCTAATGTTCATTTGACAGTATTAGGGATGGCAAACGGGCGGGTCGGGTGCGGATACCCCCTCCCCCATCCCCATACCCACCTAATATTTTTGAATCCACCACCCGCCCACCACCCATGATGGGTACAAATTTTCAAATCCACACCCGCCCACGCGGGTATATTCTCAAATCCATCCCCACACCCACACCCACTACCCACTAACGACGTACTGTTGTTACTCATGATTTCAAATTTTCTAATATGCACTCTAAACCGCACGATTTGTAATAACTATAAAATCCTAGAAAGTGCAGTTTCTCAATTATCATTAACAGAAGAAAATGCTACAGTGGCATTTACATATTTAAAAGAAAAAAGAAAGGCGCAGCATGCTAAAATCCTTCAAAAGTCAAAACTAAATGCGACGAAGTTATCTAACCAGCTTATAAATCCACAAGAAAATCATTCAGGAAAATAACCCCAACTTGTTTGTGATGGAACTTAACTGAGTTGAGAAACCTCCTAATCTAAGGTCATTAGGTCAAGGACACTATCCATTTATTTTTCCATATAGCAGAATGACTACTTTCACTGGAAATTTGATCCAAATTTCTATATTTTGTACCTTTCAAGCCATACAACATAAGAACAACACTACGGCTACTGGCTTCATGACATGAAGGTATATAATATGATGACAATTGAAAAAGATCAAATAGTCAAAATTGCAGAATAACCATTAACTTCAATTGATCTTTAAGAATTCAAATGAATCATATTCTTAACACTTTTCCTATACAACTTCAATTACTACATTACCTCTCTATCAACTGGAAGTGGAACTCATACAGTTTCCTCTTCAATGTGCCAGAGGCGGCCAACATCAATGTATCATTAACTTCCCAAACAGTTTTCATTTCATATGCAGATTAGAACTTATAAATAAACTAAAAAGGTAATAATTCCACAATGGAGTGGGAAATGAATTTTATTTCAGAAGATGATAAACAAGTATTTCTCTTTCTAAAGTAGAAAAGAAGTCAAACTGATTATATCTTTTCAAATTTAATGACATACAAGTGAAATTAATTGCTATATGGAAATCTTTTCGTGAAATTATAGAAGCCTTTAAAAATACATGGGTGGAGTGAGGATATCACTATTATCATTGTGTAACTTTTCACTTTAAGACACCTCGCCAAATGAATATTAGTATTGCAACAAGGAAATTGACACTATACTATTGGAATCACATTGCCACATCATTTGTACTAAGCAAAAACATACACCGCAAGTCATAAATATCCAGTTGTAATGACAACAATTTAGCCATTAATTCCTCACACCGAGATCTCTTAGGATCCATTAAGCTAAATCCAAATATTGAAGATATATTGGATTGAACAGTGCATTGTCTTCAAGTTCATTAATCAGTAAACAAAAAGAAGTACCCATAAATCATCTAAACCCAAAATTAAAAAATTTCTGCTTTAAAACCCAAAACCTATTTTCCAGGATTCAACTCTTACCCAGACCAAAAACAACATCTTTTACAAAAAGGAAAAAGAAATGATAACAAGCTTACAAAAACTGCAACTTATTTACAAAAGTAAACTAGAGCTAAGCTTTAGAAACATAACCTGCCAATATCAGTGGAAGCTGGAAACAGAGAAAAGCCAGGAACCCCAACAGTGATTGGTGTAAGCGTACACCTATCGAGTGCAAGAATATTGATAACCTTTCAGCTAAAGATATCGATCAACTTAGGGAATGATATTGACAAAACTATTATTGTTAAGGTAGTTTCTGTAAGCGAAAAGGAAAATATGAGTTGATTGAGTTGGATGTAGTTGTAAATAATGCATCAATAGTAATATAAAGGAAATAACTAAATCAATTGATAGAACATATCACTCATTAGAATTCACACAACCAAAACAAACAAATCACCAGATTGAAGAAACGTATTGAAGAGTGGAGACAGGAAATATCGGCGCAATAAGATTAAAGACTAAAGAGGTATCATATTAAAGACTAAATATCCCTAATATTTGGTTAAATTATATGTTATATCTTATATAATATTAGAATTTTAAATTAGTCTCTAAAATTACACCTAAATTCATAATGGTCTAAAATTTAATGGATATTTAACTGGGCGGGCGGATGTGAGGCGGGCGGATGTGAGGCAGGCGGATGCGGGGCGGGTGGATGCGGGGCGGGTAATGTCTCAAACCCATTACCCGCCCACCACCCGCGATGGGTACCACTTTCTAAATCCACACCCGCCCACTACCCGCTAAAATTATACCCATCCCCGCCCCAATTGGAGCGGATGCGGTGCAAAATCCACGAAACTGTACCCGTTTGCCATCCCTAGACAGTATGGTTTTAAGCCTATAGTTTTTTTGGTTATTTGTAAAGGTAGGTTTTAGCTTCCGTCTCGATGTTGTGATATGCTTAGAGCATTCCGGGCTTACAATCTCATTCTGAAACATCATCCGGATTATATGTCTTCCATTTATGTCCGACTTTAACTTGGTTCTTGAATCTTTAGCATTGTACATTGTTTTCGAGATTTCTTGCTAATCTCCTCTATGCATTCGCTTATAGCTTGCTCATTTTCTTGGAAAAAATATGTATATGCCTTTCAACGTATATTCTGCACTTATGTTTATATATTTTCTTGCAAAATGTTTTTCCAGATTGGATCTACTAAACCTGATGATGTGACTATTTCTGTGGATCAGAGGTAGGGATGGATTTAGTTGTTTTGTTTTTGACTTTTTAGTTGATCATCACACTTATGATATGTATAAATACTAAGAGTAATCCAATGCGTATATACTGATTGTGCCTTGCAGTTTTCCTTTGGCTGACCTAATCAAAATGCAAAAGCCTGGTTCTGAGAACAGTGATTCCGGTGAGAGTAAGGATGAAGATGACAATGACAATGTTGAAAAATCAGAGGATGAGTATGACGATGAGTCAGAAGAAGGGAGTGATAACGAGGATGATTCAGATGATGATGTTTATGGTGATGAAGAAAGTGATGATGACGATGACGATGACGATGAAGACGATGATGAAGATGATGAAGACGACGATGACGATGACGATGACGAAGATGATGATGATGACCAAAGTTATCAAAGGCTCAAGGCGCATCGAGGCGTAAAGTGTCCTGGAGCCTTGAGGCACGAGGCGCATGAAAGGCGAGGGATTCAAGAATGCGAGGTGCATGATATTCAAAAAATTGTAATACATGTATATATTAATGCAATCAAACTCAAATATCATATATACCCAATATTAGGCTTCAATAGAGTTCATTCTCAAACTCAAAATACTAACATACTGTCATAAAAGCTATCAACAAGCATAATCAAGTACTAAGTTTAACAAAAACATTCAACATGCATAAACAAAACATCAAATAAAGTCACTGATAATAATCATCAAACATCAAACTCATCCTCATCATCATCGTGAAGTGGTATGTCATAATCTTCCTCCTCATCTGTCTCACAATCCCCAATGTCTTCTTTTTCAGTGTCACTCTCCTCTAGCATAACAACTTCATCATCTTCATCTACAAGGAGGGTCTAGCTTTTTCCTTTCCTTTCGAGCTTGAACTAGCAATATTCTTTCTTCTAGTATTATGGTCATGCTCATAAGCTCCGGAAGCTATACCAACATCCTTCCATGTCAAATCGTCATCATCAAACACAAAATCTTCATTTTCTTCTTCATTCTCATCCATTCTACCAAGCAACCATTCGTTACTTTCATCAATGTCATCCAAATAGATTGGATCAATGACATCACGAGGATTATAAAGCCGCTTTAACGCTCGATTATATTTCGCATAGACTAAATTATAACGCCGCTTTAATGCTCGATTATATTTCACATACTAGAAGAATAAATAATTTTATAAAGGAACGATTAAATAAATAAATAAAACAAACTAAAGTGAGCCTAGGCTACGTGCCTCGCTTCAGTGTTGAAAAAGCCCCGTTCAGTGAGCCTCTGCGCTTTCGCACCTCAGGCGCGCTTTTTACATCTATGATGATGACGACTAAGACAAAATGGGTGGAAAAGAAATTTGGTAATTCTTTTAGCCCTTAATTATTTAGGGAGTTAAAATCATTATAACTGTGGAAAGATCAATTCATAGTAGCGAATTTTTAGCTTTGGTTTCATTTAGTATATTCATATGATGGACAAGTAGAAGTTGAATCATTATAAAACATGTAATACCCTCAACCCGTACCCGACCCGAATATGAGTCCGAAATGTCACATTGACGTTTTAAAATAATATTCTTACCAAATAACCAAATATTTGAACTTATATTATGAAAATACGATGATATATTATTGAATTATGTCCGTTATAAAATTTTGAGACAAAAACATATTTATGAATAGCACTATACAGTATGAACAATACTGTGAACATTAATGAACAGTGCTATAGTGCATCGATGCCCAAAAATATCGAAGTAAAATGGTGTATCGATGCGCTGCTATAGTAACTTTCGTAAAACGTACATAAAACTTGTAAAAATTTAACCGTTTATTACTATACGTTTACATTTACATAAATACGTTTAAAACATTAGAAAAGTCGATCAGAGCGTTCATACTAAAACATTTATTACATGCCAACATACTATAAACAATCAAAATACATACTTTATCAATTACTTCTGATCTGATCTTCTAGCAGTGTTGTTGTTCTTGCCACTCCTATTTATACTATTCTTGGTTCTTGGTACCTACGTGTAAATCACTTACACGCTAAGTCATAGACTTAGTGAGACATAATAAAATACATAACAATGAATTCATGAAACATGCACTCTTACCGTTCAATTGTAACATTATAACCTGAATGTATCCATTACACTACAACATATATGATCATGTCATGTATATATGAAATTTGTCTTCTTATGCAAGTTTCACTTCACTTTATCTTTGTATTGCCCATGTACATTATTGAGAACAGAAGGTACGCGAGTACCCTGAGGTTGTGCACGAATACTGTCACCACAGCTCGAATAAATTCCCACTAGGGGCACTGAATATTTGTCCCGAACGACCACTATGTCTTTAAGGACCACTGTATATGTCCCGAAGGACCACTATGTCCCGAAGGACCACTGTATATCCCTCGACTCTTGGCATGCCAATTATGCCTACAGCTCTCATATTAAATAACATGGGCTTAAATATGAATACATTTCTCATTTTCATATCTCTTTCATTACTTTTCATATAAACACATATTTCACTTCACATGTACACATATGATCATTTCCATTATTTCACATACCTGAATTGATTCTCTGACAATTGCATTCTTTCATATAATATCATATTAAAGCATAAACGAATTATGCAAGAAATCACTATATTCAATATATATATATATGGATGCATGTACATGAATATGAAATCATGAATTCAACTATAAGAGATAGACTTGTCACAAGTCTTATCTCCATACAATTCTATCTAGTATGTACACTCACTTTAGCCTTGCTTACTTTGACTCAATTCTAATCCTTCGATTGTTCCGGAACAGGATTACGTTCTACATCTACATAATAATACATTGATACAGATCAATATACTAATAACATATCCTAAACTTTCATTTCTTAAACTAAAGGAAAGATAATTTCATTGCTTATTTAAAGTAGATATCGATACTTGTTAAATGGGTACCGATACCCCTGGCCCAGAGCTAACATTTTCAGCACGTGAATTACTTTATTTCAGCTCAATACTTCATATTTACTTCCCTTTAATAATCCTAACTTACATACACATGCTTAGCCTCACTAATATTCATTTATCCCATCTTTAACCTCAATATCCTCTCCTTTTTATAAAATTCAAGAATCATACTCAAATTTCAACATGTTCTAAATTCAATGCTAGCACTTCTTATGTCTTAACTAGATTGATGACAAGTCAAATCCAACTTCCAAATTCATTTAAACCCTTATTCAAAATTTCACTTTGAATCCCATTCTCTTTAATCTTCTATAACTCAAAACTCTTTGAGTTTCTAAGTCCCTTTTTTCTTCCATCATGTTTCCTAAAGCTTCATGAATCAAAACCATGCTTGAATTTGAAGGATTAACCAAAAGAAATCAAACTTACCTTGAGTTTGGGTGCTTCACGTTTGGGAGAAGAATAAGATGAAAAAACACGGAAGAAGGAATGAGAGAAATCTGGAAACATTTGTTTCCTACATATTCCCACGTGGGTTTATAAAATAACCCAATTAATATTTTATTCATCCACTTGTTCAATGACCCTTTTACCCTTTTACTCTTCCTTTATTTACTAATTAATCCTACACCATCTTTCAATTAATTCCTTCACTTTTCAATTTATTTAATTTGGTCATTGAATTTAAAAATCTTACACTTAAATCACTAATCCGATATTGAGGATGTTACAAAACATGCTAGGGATGGCATCTCCTGATCAAGTCCGTACTTACTGTTCACTTGTGAATGATACATTGTTAATGGTGAAAGCCATATTTCTGAATATTAATTAATGGTGTATTAAAAAGAAATGAAAGGGATTCAGATTCAGATTCAGGGACAAAGCATTGTGCTGTGAACTAGGGGTAAAAGCCACATTTTGAATTCAAACCGCCCGCATCAACGGAATGTTACGTGGTCTGGTTTGACCCCTTTAAACCATATTTATCTATCTTTCTGGTGTTTGAGTTCAAATATACAATTTTCTTGATGAGATACAGAGATCCAACAAATTAGTGAATGTAATATCTTTGCAATAGTCATAAAAAAATATGTTTTGATATTGAACTCTATGGGATCATGAAAGGTCAGGTATACTAGCTCGGATGTTGCATGTAATGCTGCTAAATGATCCATGGTGGTTGCAGTTTGAAAGGATTTAGCTGCTGTATAATATCCTTGGGTTAGTTAGACAAACGGTTGGGTTATGGATGATAGATTAGAAATTTATGAGTGAGTATATATAGCATGGTCCTAGAACACATCCTCTGTAGTGCAGCCCTCTTTCTCTCTTTAAAATCCATGAACAGTTCTCAACACCTCTTATCCGAACCTTAAAGGGCTCCAAATAGGACTTCTCACTTTTGATGCTGGGTGGTATCTAAGGTCTTACCTTACTTGCTGCATCACTTTAAAAAGTCATGATCGTATCTATAAAACTCTATATCACAAGTATTTCTTTGTAAAGTAAGTTTATACTAATTATGAGGTATGACTTGTCCGTCCCTTAATCATATGAGGCTCAATTTCCACTTCTAAACAATGTAAAAATGGCGCAAGGCACACCAAGGTGAGGGGTTCTATAGTCTAAGTGCAAGGTCAATAAGGCACGGGCCTTATTGAAATGTGTTGAGTTAATCGATCAAGGGTCAAAAGAGGGTGAATTGACAATAAAAATTTTGTTAGAAGCTTTTGCAACTAGGAAAAATGACACAAGAAATTTAAAGTGGTTCAACTTAGTAAATGAATTTTACATCTACTACCTTAGCTTCCATACTAAGGATTTCAACAAATTCACTAATTTGTTCTAACCTTTTAGGACAAGGTGTAACCATACAGTACACTTAAACTTATACCCCAAAGTTTTGAGTGTACAACCTTCCTATTAAGAAATCACAAATAAGCAAACTTTGAAAAATCCAATATAAGGAGTGTGTTTGCACCATTCAGAACAAATAGAACACTTTAGAAATAAAACAAAGAAGTACAAAGTGTTATTGAAAGCAAAAGGATTATTTGAGAATGATGACTTGATTTTTGACTCTATGTGATTGTTTTGGCTTTATCTTTGATCTCGTATCTTCACATATAACTTGAAATCTTGTTTTTATACTCCCTCATTTAATTCTATCCGTTTGGATTGTTGTGGGAGTTAATATTGTCATTGAGAGGCAGTTTCCCTCAATAAATGTTGTCCAGACGCTTGGAGTATCGGTACTCGAACTTGGAGTATAGGTATTATCTGCATGAAATACGAAAATATAGCCGTTGAGAATGGAGTATCAGTACCGACCATTGGAGTATCGGTACCAAAATGGTATACTAAAATTTGACATTCTCAAAAACATAAGGGCAATATCGATATTTCCACCTGAAATATCGTTACTGGTATCGATGTGGAGGAGTATCAATAGCAAAACAACTTACTGGAATTTGCACAATAAAGGGAGTATCATGTATTTTAAGCTATTAACATCGATACTATATCGATACCACATTAATAGTATCGATATTATTCTTGCAGTATTGATACTTTTGGATAATAATTTTTGACTCGATTAAAGTTTAAAATCTTTTGTAAAATAGTTTCAAAATTATTTTAGTATATGCCTCAATTATGTTTAATAAAGTAAGGAGTAAAATGAAATTTTTGACTCTAAAATGAATTTATATATCCGAATGAATCAAATATAATCTTAAATTTTTTAAAAAATATTAAATAAATTTTGGTAAATCAAAACATCAAAGTATAGTTCAACAAAGTGAGGCGTGCGCCTTAGTGG